TCTGTACCATTGGTCTACCAGTCTGTTTTGGTGTCAATACCATGCTGTTTTTGTTACTGTTGCTCTGAAGTATAGTTTAAGGTCTGGTATAGTGATGCCACCTGCTTCACTCTTCTGCTAAGGATTCTTTATAATGTCTCTTATTTTTCCAGACGAATTTTATGACTGCTTTTTTTATTTCTATGAGGAATGCCATTGGGATTTTGATTGGAATTGCATTAAATCTGTATAGTGCTTTTGGTAGTATGGTCATTTTGATAATATTAATTATGCCTATCCAAGAGCAAGGTATATTTTTCCATCTTCTAAGGTCTTCTTTGATTTCTTTCTTTAGGGCTCTGTAATTTTCATTATATACATCTTTCACTTCTTTCATTAAGTTTTCCCAAGTATTTTATTTATTTATTTGAGGCTATTGTAAATGGGGTAGTTTTCCTCATTTCCCTTTCAGAGGATTTGGCACTGATATACAGAAATGCATTTGATTTATGAGTGTTTATTTTATATCCTGCTACTTTGCTGACCTAGGAATAAAACCAGAGACCCTCATCTAATAGAAGAAAAAGTAGGCCCTAATCTCCATCATGTGGGATTAGGCCCCAACTTCCCTAATAAGACTCCTTTGGCTCAAGAATTAAAATCAAGAATCAATAAATGGGATGGACTCAAACTAAAAAGTTTCTTCTCAGCAAAAGAAACTATCTGTGAGGTGAAGAGAGAACCTACATCTTGGGAGAAAATCTTTACCCCTCACATATCAGATACAGCACTAATCTCTAGGGTATATAAAGAACTCAAAAAGCTAAGCACCAAAAAAATAAATAAATAACAAATAACCTAATCAATAAATGGGCTAAGCACCTGAACAGACACTTCTCAGAAGATGATATACAATCAATCAAAAACTATATGAAAAAATGTTCATCATCACTAGCAATTAGAGAAATGCAAATCAAAACTAAGATTTCATCTCACTCCAGTCAGAATGGCAGCTATTATGAAGACAAACAACAATAAGTATTGACGAGGATGTGGAGGAAAAGGCACACTCATACATTGCTGGTGGGACTGCAAATTGGTGCAGCCAATATGGAAAGCAGTGCAGAGATTTCTTGGAAAATCGGGAATGGAACAACAATTTGACCCAGCTATCCCTCTCCTTGGTTTAGTACACAGCCACATCAATGTTTATAGCAGCACAATTCACAATAGCTAAACTGTGAAACCAACCTAGATGCCCTTCAGTGGATGGATTTAAAAAAATGTAGCATATATACATAATGGAATATTACTCAGCAATAAAATAGAATAAAATCATGGCATTTGCTGGTAAATGGATGGTGTTGGAGAAGATAATGCTAAGTGAAGTTAGCCAATTCCAGAAAACCAAATGCCGAATGTTTTCTCTGATATAAAGAGGCTGACTCATAGTGGGGTAAGGAGAGGGAGCATGGGAGGAATAAATGAACTCTAGATAGGGCAGAGGGGTGGGAGGGGAAGGGAGGGGGCAGGGGATTAGCAATGATGGTGGAATGTGATGGACATCATCATCCAAAGTACATGTATGAAGACACGAATTGGTGTCAACATACTTTATATACAACCAGAGATATGAAAAATTGTGCTCTATATGTGTAGTAAGAATTGTGATGCATTCTGCTGTCATATATAAAGAAAAAAATAATTTTAAAAATATTAAAAAATTAACCTTGCGTCCATGAATTGTGGAGAAAAGTAAATTCTTACTAGTTTTGTTGTCACACCTCAAAAGTTATAGCCACAGTATGACACAATGCTTATCGAAGATGGAAAACATATTAGGAGTGTCTGTGTATATGAAAAAACATAGAATATATAGGGCAATGACCAACGGTGGTCTCAGGCATATTCTGGGGGTCTTCCTCTGGGGGTCTTGGGATGCATACCCTGTGGGTAGGAGGGGATGGCTCTATAATGTTCTACATTCCTGGAAGAGTTGAAGGCTACAAAGTCAGAGAAGGGTATGCGTGTAGAGGGCAGAACAGGTGGTGGCAGTTTTCTGGGGGAGATAAAATGAGGACCAGGTGCTGGAGGTCAGCAAGACATAGAGAAGGGAAGAGGAGAGAGGCTTTCCCAGCCAGCCCAGGGAGGGTATTTATCTGGAAGAACACACCTAAGAAGGATGTTCTGGGTACCCTTGCTGCCCAGGTCTTGCCTCTCCCACCTCTGAGATGTAGCTCCGTGCCCCCATCATCAGAGCTGTGGAGGTTCTTCCCTGGCCCTTAGGCAGAACACACTGGCTGAGCTGGGTGCTGTTGGCCACAGAGCATGCAGAAAAGAACAAGACGGGGAGGGTCCTGGGTCTGCCTCCCACAGAGGCAGCCCAAGTACTCACAGTTCAGAAGCAGACCGAGCAAGCCAGTCAGGTGAAGCTCTGCACAGATGCTTGAATGGTACAGTTCAGGGAGCCCAAGGACGATAGCCTTAAGGAGGAGATGCTGCCCTGGAGGGAGAGATTTGGAGCAGAACTTTTGCAATCATGAAGGTATCTGTTAACGAGTGATTTTTAAAAAACCACTTTCAAATGAGCTCTAAGAACAAAGTGCAGAAATACAGAGAAGTCTGATAATAGGGAAGGCTTCAGGTGCACTGTGATCAGGGGTCCATAGGATCATCAAGGTGATGGGTACACCCTCATTGCGGTTCTCTCAGCCTCCAGCCACGTGTGACTTTCTCCCTGACATGGTTCAGGTGTGGTTAGTCTCCCAAAGCTTCATGTGTTGGAGGCTTGGTCCTTAGTGTGGTGGTGTTCAGTTGGTGGAACTTTTAAGAGGTGGAGTCTACCCGCCATTCCTGTTTTTTTTTTTTTTTTTTTTTTTTTTTGTGATAATCAATGTTGTAGATGTCATAGTGGGAACCTGGTATTGAATGCTGTATTTTTATTTTATTTTTGCATCAGTTGTTGCTATTGTTTGTTTCCCCTCTTCTGTGAAGTGCTGGGGACCTACAAGGACACAGGTTCACAGGGTAGAGACTCTGCCGATGAACCAAACTCAGCCAAAAGAAGTGCACCTCGCTGCACACACAAATTAATGATACTCAAACTTTTTGGGGGCCTCGGGTTCTACTCACAGACAAAAAAACCCAAAAACAAACAAACAAACAACAACAAAAAAAAAAACAGAAGATTAACACAAAGTTTGTGGATACCACCCCTGCGAGGGGATCTCAATCTAGATCACACTAGGACACCTTGGTAAGATGGGGTTCTGCCCTAAAAAGGCCCCCACACAGGAGTAGAAGAGAAATCCATCCCAACAGATGCATAAAAACCCAACAGAGGAATACAAGAAATGTGGAAAATCAAGGTAACACAACGCCTCCTAACGTTCATAATTCACCAGCAACTGGTCCCAAGGATATTGAAGTAGATGAAATATCAGACAAAGAATTCCGAAGAATGATTATAATCATGATCAAAGAGGTGGGATCTAGTGCAAAGTACTAAGGTGATTGGGGGCACTGCTCTCAAAAGGGATTAACGCTGGTCTTGTGCAGTCAGTTCTCATGAGAATGGGTGGTTATAGAAGGAGTGAGCCTGCCCTGAGCTGCTCCCTGGCATCTTGCCTCACTACGGGATTGCTCTCTCACATGCTCCTGCCATCGCGATGCCCTCTACCACAAGGCCCTCCTCAGCACTGAGCAGAAGCAGGTGTTGTGGTTTTAACCTCCAGAACTACTGTAACCCTAGTGACTTGGGAAGCTGAGGCAGGAGGATTATAAATTCGAGGCCAGCCTCAGCAACTTAGCAAGAGACCCTGTCTCCAAATAAGAAATAAAAAATTGGGGCTAGGGTTGTGGGTCACCGGTAGAGCGCTTGCCTAGCATGTGCGAGGCCCTGGGTTCCATCCTCAGCACCACATAAAAATAAATAAAATAAAGGTATTGTGTCCAACTACAACTAAAAATTTTTTTTTAAATGTTTGGGGAAGGATATTGACCAAATGATATGGCTACATTGTGTACATCTATGAATATTTAACAGCAAATCCCACCATTAGGTATAATATAAGGCACCAATAATGTTTTTTAATAAATACAAAGGACTAAGGGTGTAGCTCAGTGGTAGAGTGACTCTGGGTTCAATCCTCAGTACCCCACCCTGAGCCATTTAACTGTATCAACCTGTTCAATTCATGACATTTAGAACATTTAAATTGTATAATTATTACTTCTATCTAGCTCCAAAACATTTTCATTGCTCCAAAAAGAAATTCTGTGTTTATTAGACATCACTCCCTAGTCTGCCTATTCCTCATCCCCTGGAAATCTACATTCTATCTCCACGGATTTACCTATTTGGGACATTTCATGTAAGTGAAATCATATAATATGTGGCCTTCATGTGTGCTTTCTTTTACTTAGCATAAAATCCAAGTTATAGCTTGTTTTGGAACTTCATTCCAGTCCCCCCACACCCCTTTTTTGGTACTGGGAATTGAACTCAGGGGCACTCAACCACTGAGCCACATCCCCAGCCCTATTTTGCATTTTATTTAGAGACAAGGTCTCACTGAGTTGCTCAGCACCTTGCCCTTGCTGAGGCTGGCTTTGAACTCGCAATCCTCCGGACTCAGCCTCCCAAGTCGCTGGGATGACAGGCATGTGCCATCGTGCCCAGCTACTCCCCTCCCCTTTTTGGTGTCAGGAGCGGGATAATTTTATTCATTTCGCTGACCGAATTGTCATTGTAAGCATATGCCACAGTTTATTTATTTGCTCATTAGTTGATGGACATTTGGGTTGTTTCCACTTTCAGTTATTTTGAATAATGCTACTAACGAACATTTCTAGATAAGTTTTGATTGCGAACTACTGATTTCAGTTCTTCTGGGCATGGAATTTGCTAGGTCACATGGCAATCCTATGCTTAATTTTTTAAATTAGCAACAGCAGCATTCAGCATTCCTACCAACAATGCACAAGGTTCCAATTTTCACCTTTTCTTTCTGTTCCTGCAGTCATCTTGTCAAGCTAGGAGGAGCACAGTGGATGGCTACTTCCTGGCAGGCCGAGACATGACGTGGTGGCCAGTGAGTGAACCCTGACTTTTCACACACACCCTCCCTTTGTCCGTGGGGCTGTATCTGGCCTTAGATCAGCTGGCACCTGCATCCCTGATATCACCTTACTGTCTTCCTAATCCAAGGTCACTGCCCAGGTTCAGCTCCATGGGATAGGCCAAAGGCTGGCAGGAGATCCTCGAACTGGGGGCAGGCGGGTAGGGTCAAGCAGATGGAATTTGCATAAAGGGTAGTCCCTGAAGTCCGAGTGTGGCTGGTACATCAACGCATACCCCTGGGCGTTGTCTCATGTGTTCAGTGGAAATGGGGCCCCACTTAGGCTGTGATGTAAAAGGAGATGTTGTTGGGTCCAGGCTGGGGCTGGTGGCTGAAGCCTGTGCTGATTGGTTTTCCTCTTTCCTCCTCCAGATTGGAGCCTCCCTGTTCGCCAGCAGTGAGGGCTCTGGCCTCTTTGTTGGACTGGCGGGCTCTGGTGCAGCGGGAGGCCTGGCTGTGGCAGGCTTTGAGTGGAATGTGAGCACGTGGAGAGGGCGTGTGCAGCCTGTGGGAGGGCTGGGCCAGAGAGTCCAGCAACTTTGGCTGGACGTGTCAGCCATTGTCCAGGCAGGCTCTGGGCAGTGGTGTTCCTTGGGCAACATGGTCTTTGGGATGCTGTAGCGTGGCCGGAAGGGGGCTTTGGGCCTTGGCCCTACCCATCTGCCTACAGAGGCCCAGAGACAGGGAGGGGCCACCCAGGTTCTCACAAGTCAGATGGATCTGGGGTCCCTGGGTCATCTAGAAGTCTCAGGGGCAAGGCTTTGGGGATCTGCACACATGATCTTTACCTCCCCTATCCCCGCAGGCCACGTACGTGCTGCTGGCTCTGGCGTGGATATTCGTGCCCATTTATATTTCCTCAGAGGTGAGTGGTGGGCCCGTCCTCCCCAGCCTCTGTGACCAGCTGGTGAACCCTCAGAGCTGGGTTTTTCCTATTAGACCAGCTGAGATTTTTACCAGCTGGGTAAGGCCGTCCCGCTTAGACCTCTGCCTGCTTATTTTGTGACTAGTTTCTACTGCCCTGACACTGTCAGGTGGGACACCTGGATTGCACACCTAGACAGTATAGCTGAGTGGCACATTTGGACTGCACACCTGGGTGGCATAGCAGGGTGGCACTGGGCAGAACAGCTGGGTGGCACACCTGCCTTCACTATCCCTTACTCCACCCACCCCTTTAGCCCCAACCCCAGTCCTGCAGCCACCAAATCCAGTGGATTCCACCTCCATGCTCCCCCACTGCTCTGCCCCCACAGCCATCTTCTCTGTCCAGCCTCATCATAGATCCTCTGGATTTGTTGCAACAGCCTCCAAACTTGTCCCTCTGTTCCCACCTGTGGCTCCTACAATCAATTCCTCATCTCAGCCCTGAAGAGCCAACCTCAACCTGTCTAAACTCAGCCTAGAATTCAGGGCCTGGGGCTGGGACTGTAAGGAGCAAGTTTCCTGGCCTTGCTCTCGAGAGGATCATGGCCACTTTGTGTGTCCAGGGAGAGGGAGAGCGGTTGGGATGGGCCCCTGCCCTGGACACCTGTCATGGTCTCTGGGGAGTGTTTAGCTCTTCTTGCCCGTATGTCCCCCAGATTGTCACCTTGCCTGAATACATTCAGAAACGTTTTGGAGGCCAGCGCATACGCATGTACCTGTCTGTCCTGTCCCTGCTGCTGTCTGTCTTCACCAAGATATCGGTGAGTTGCCCCCCCCCAAGCCCCACCTTTTACCAGCGTATCCTGGAAACATCCCTGATCTGGGGCCCCTGAAACGGACCTGACATCCACCTCATTCATCACTGCTTTGTTGAACAGCTAGGGAAACTGAGGCCCAGAGAGTCCCATGGCTTGTTTAGAGTCACACAGCCAGTCTAGGACATCATCCTGCCTTAGTGGGGCTGAACAGGAGGGGTTAGACCTGGGCATCTTCTCTGGAACCAGCAGCAAAGTAAGCCAGGATTTCCCACTAGAGGGCGCCCAAAGCCTGCATGGTCCCGGCAGGTTCTGCTACTGCACCCAGGAGACCTCCTGCTTTCCACCAAGACTGCTGGAGGCAGCAGGTGGTTTCAGCTTTCCCTCAGGGCCTGGATCCGTGAATATTAAAGAGCAATAATCCCACCTTAAATGGGATGGTGATCAGAGGTGTTTTCCCTGTCCAAGACCCTGATTTTACAGATAGAGAAACAGAGGCCCAGGAAAGAAAGGAACTTGACCCAAGCCTCTTACCAGACTTTCAGACTTTCTCTTAACTTTCCTGGGGGCATCCAGGCTTCTGAACAAGCTTGAGTTGGGGCTGCCTGATATGGGCTAAGGTAGCGACCTTGACAAGTGTCCTGGCCTTGCCCTCATTGACACAGTGAGCCTCAGTTTCCTTCTGGTCAGCAGGAGCTGTGGGGAGAGGGACTACCTGAGAACAGAACACTGAGAGAGTCCCCAGAGCCCTCAAGGGGCCCTGTCTGTGGTAGGACTGGGCATTGGTCTGCTGCTCTCCCTCCTTGGTGTCCCCTCTGCAGCCTCAGCCTGACCTCCCCCTGTGCTCTGTGCTGGGGGACCACCCAGCAGCTGGGGCTGGGGGAGGTCCTCAGAGCATCTTGTTATTACTGTGGTCTGGTTTAGGGGGAGTTTCACCAGCAAGCATCACACCACCATCTTCACTAGATACTCTGAGAGAACTGTAGTAGGTTTTCTTCCTCCAGGGATTCCTTTCGAGTCTGGAGGGACCTGGCCTTGGGCTGCCCTTGAGACCAAGTTCTGAATTTTACTACTCTTCCTCCTCTTATCCCTTTCCTGAATCCCACCTCCCTGGAAGCCAGGGATACAGAAATAAATAACACCTTGTCTCCAGCCTGCCCTGGGCTTCACTACAGTGAGGTTGATAAATAGGAAGGACAGGCACGGCCAGATGGAACTCAGCAGGTGGCATCTCAATTGAGCCCCAACAGAGAAAGAGATGGTAGTGGAAGAGCAGAGGAGAATGGCTAAAGGGGAGACGGGGCCATGTGTACGATGTGCCTGGGGGTGGCCGGATCAGGAGGCCTAGATTCTAACAGCCACTCTCAGTCAGATGCTTTAGAGATCAGATAGGAAAACAGGGAAGAGAAAAGCTGGGCCAGGCCCAGTGGCCTGTGATCCCAGTGAATCAGGAGGCTGAGGCAAGACGAGCACAAGTTCAAAGCCAGCCTGGGGTATTTAGTGACATCCTAAGCAACATAACAAGACCCCTGTCTCAAAATAAAAATAGAAAATGGATTGGGGGTGTGATTCAGTAGCTGAGTGTCCCTGGGTTCAATCCCTGCCCAGAACCAGAGAGAGAGAGAGAGAGAGAGAGAGAAACTGGAAGGGAGGTAATAGGGAGTATTGGAGACTGAGGCAAACCAGAGAATGGGTTTCAGGGGAGAGACAGAGGAGGGGAGGCATGTGGGGGGCCCCGGAGGAGTCTAGTGAAGGAGGGAAGGTGAGCTGTGGGCACAAGGCTGCTTCACCATCACCGCCCCTGTGTTTACCCTACTGACATCTATGCAGTACAGAGTAGATGTCACATGGAGCTGGCTTCAAGTGAGTGGCTAAGGTGGAACTTCCCGAGCAGCAGAGGGAAGAGCTCCTTGGAGACTACCATCTCCAGGCGTCCCTCCCTTCCTCCCTTCCTCCCCATGTTCAGATGTGACCGCTGAGACCCACACTGTACCCCGGGTCAAGATCACTGCCACCAGGCAGAGTTCTGTGAGAACCCAGGTCTCTGCCTCCAGGCCCAAAGGACACTACTGCTCCTCAAATAGCCAGGATGTGGCACTCCAAGTTCCACCTTGTGATGGGGTGACTCAAAGGACCCAGCTATGAAAAGAGGAGTGAGCAGTCACATCAAGGCCAGGCTTCGGAACCAACGCGGGAGCTGCCTAGATGAGGCAGAGGGCGAAGCTGAAGCAAGGCTAATTGCTGGTCTTGGCTTGGGAGGGGACTCGGGCTGCCCTGCTCCTGGCTTTGGAGTGAAGCTGTTTGAAGTGCACGCATTCTACGGGCCCTCAGAGGTCCTGACCACACCAGGCTGAGCTTTAGGAACATCTCATGTGTCCGCCCATCCAGAAGCCATCCCAGGTGCAGCCTGTCTGGACAGAGGTCCTAGAATTGGCCTGCAGCCATCCCTCAGGCGGGGGCACCTGCCTGCCAGGAGGACCTGTCATGGGAGGGTATGGAGAATCACCACCATGCTCATCTAGAGGAACCGTGAGCTCTGGCCAGACATTTAACTTCTGGAAAATAGGGAAGGCAGGCAAAATACCCTATGCCACTTGGACTGAAAACCCCACCAGCTTCACCTCTTCCTCTTCTCCTTCTGGTCTCCTTGCACTGCCACCAACCTGCCAGGCCTAGTCCTGCTTTAGCACTTGCTGTGGCCTCTTCCTGGAGCCCTGTTCCCCAGCTGTGCCCTTGGCTCCCTCAACCTCTCTCAAGCTTTTTAAATTCTTTACCCCTGCCCCAGGGAGACAGCTCCCTTACCTTTTCTCTCTCCTTCCTATTCTTACACAGAATCATTGACTTAGAATGTCTATTGTCCGTCTCCCCCATTTTTTCTCTTTGTTCCCTGATGCATCCCCAGTTGGTGCCTGGCACACCTCCTGGAACTGAATAAGTTAACATAAGCCAGGGTCGGCTCATTTTTTTTCTACAAAGAGCCTGATAGTAAATATTTGGGGATTTGGGGGCCATCGAGTCTCTGTTCCAACTCCTCAACTCTGCTGCAGTGGCCAATAGTAGAATAAGGTGGGTCTGGATTTGGCCTGCAGTTTCCTCTGATCTCTGGAAGCATGCTTACCTATGGTGCACCTACTGTGTGCCTGGCTCTGGGTGAGCAGGCCAGCCCAATGAGCCCTTTCCAGATAGGTGTGATGCCTGGACAGAGCAATACCATCACAGCAACGGTGAACATCTGAGCCAAGAAGCCAACTCGGGAGGTGATAGTGAGGAGAGGGGACAGGGGCGCTCTGGGGTGGACATTCAAGCTTTGCTGCATTATCTGGGCAAGAGTTTGGCAAACACAAGGAGTCAGGGAGCTGCTGGTGGGGCTGGAGTGCAAGGGGCATGGGGAAAAGGGGAGCATGATGGGACAGATAGGGGGTAGCCAGCAGCACACAGAGCCTGGGGCTGGGCAGGGCAGGTGGTCTTTATTCCTTGTGTGGTGTAAATGCTGGCATGCCCTGAGTTTCCTCCAGAACAAGCAGTACAGGAAGAAGCAGTGAGGGTCTCCAAGGGCAGCACAGTGGGTAGGGAAGAGTGCAGGAGTGTTTGGGGAAAGAATCCACAGCCGTGGCCAGAAGTTTCTGTTCTGAGTCCTCAAGAGACAGCGATCGTCTCTAAAGAAATGAGCAAGGTCCTGGGCAGGAGACACAGGGGACAGACAACTTAATAGGATAATCAATCACGCAGTAATTCATAAATATCAGTGCAGGGCTCCATGGTGGCCAGGTGGGGACAGGGAGAGGGAGTAGATGAAGGGATCAGAAACACCAGGCAGTCTCTAGCCTTTGGCTGCTGATGCACCTTGTAGGGGACAGTGTCTACCAACTGGGAAATGGAGTGAAGACCCCAGAACCTGGGAAGCTTAGAGTTCCAAGCTGTGGGAGCCCCACAGATCAGCCCCCATGCTGCTCATGGACTTTGAGCAAGATATGAACTTCTCTGTGCCGAAGTGTCCTCATCTAAGGAGTGCAGTTGGCCATCACAGCCACCCGCCAGAGGGCCACAGCATTAGATGAGGCTCTGAATACCATGCTCAGGACTGTGCCTACAGACACGAACACTTGTCATCTATCAAAGGTGGCAAGTAGACGAAGGTCTCCTTGGGGACAACTGGGGATGCGGAGGACCAGCAGAGTCTCTGGGTATAAGATAGAGGGAGAGGGGACAGGGGCGCTCTACAGGCAGACATGTTGGAAGGAAGCAGGGCAGTGGTGGGGTTGAGCGTGGGCCAGTCGGGACCCTGAACATCATCCTGAAGCTTTCTCATGTGTCTGAGCAGTGGCTCTGGTCATGCTGGGTGGTGGAGTGAGGTCCTTGAGAGTGTCCTATCTACAGGGATGCAGCTGCCTGGTGTTGTCCTTTTGATTGGTTCCCAGGGTTATGCCACAGTGGGTGAGTTTGACTTTGGTCAAACTCTTGACTGTGGTCTCTCCACCCATGTTTTCAGGGGGTTCGATTAGACTCTGCAGCTGCCCCTGGGCCAGAGAGGAGGAAGCCCCCTCGGAGGTTGCTTAGCTTTCTAGAGCATCTCTTGGGGAGGTCTATGCAGAGGGAGAAGCCACTGCTCCTGCTGGTCTGGCAGAAGTGACTGCTGCATTTTACAGATGAGGGCCACTGAGGCTAGGGGGGGTGAAGTGACCTGCTCAGAACTGTATGGCTGGGACATAGCAGACCAGGAACACAGACCCAGGGCCATGTGGGTCTTAGCTTCTACCAGGCAGAAGCTTGTTGGACCCTCAGCAAAGAGGGCTTGGGCTGCAACAGAGAGTCAGGCAGGAATAGATGTGTGCAGGTCCTCACCAGGGGACTTTTTGGGGTTACAGGGAGTTGTGCCCTTGGGGGGCCTACGTCATGGAGGGTCCTACAGAGAGGATTCAGCTAAGGTCCTCCCCACTCCTCAGCGCTCTTGAAAGCCTGCTCCCATGGAAGGAAGGGAGGGAGGGAGGACTGACTATCCACCAGGGGCAGAGGTGTGGGTCTGGGATGGTGAGTTTTGAAAATGAGAGGCAGAGACTGGGACAGTCCAGGGCAGATGGGGCTAGTGAGCTGAGGCCAGAGTCGGCAAAAGTGCTGGGTGGTGAGTCTGGTGTGACCAGGACCTGGAGACCAGGTGCACAGACCAGGGCTCCATTCCAGGGATCTGGGGTCCAGAGGGGTTCTCGGCAGCAGCTGTAGGGCAGCTGGGCAGTGGCAGGCAGTCTGTTGCAGTGGGTTTTCCAGAGACCTCCTGTCCCAGGGTCTGGCTTTGGGAAGTCCCTTTACTGACTTGGGGCCTCAACTTCTCCTCGTCCTATGGGGTGAGGACTTCAAGAATCCTTCAAGGAAGGGTTAGGGTTAGCATTTCTGGGCTTCTCGGCTCAGGCTGGAGGCCAACCTCCCCCTCCCCAATCTCTCTCTGAACCACCCCTCACATGTACACTCATGCACACCGCTAAAGCCACAAGCCCAAATGGCTGTACTCTCCAGGAGCAAGGAGGAGCCAGAGGAAGCAGTGTAGGGAACATGGGCTCTGGAGTCCATCTTGTTCTTACCGGGACTCTGTCCCAGGGGCTCTGGTCCCCGGGCCCTGGCTCAAGATAGTGCTGGCTGCTCCAACTTGGGCCAGGCTCTGGGGGAGATCAAAGGACTTAGGATCCATGCCTCTTGGGCTCTAGGAAGACCAGGTCTTGTGCAAACTTGTTCCACACAGCTGGGGGCTCCAGTGACCCACAGTCCTGTCCCAGCTTTCTCAGGGTCCCAACACTATATTTCAGGCAATCCCCTCCTCTACTGAGCCAACACAGAATGGCAACAGGGGTGGAGCAAGGTGAAGCCCATTATTTGGCCCCGGGTCCCAATGGGATTATGGTCTGTAAGGCTGATTCCGGCACCGAGGCTGCCTAACCCCAGACTGAGACTCCTACCCGCATGTGGCCCAATGTCTGGGACAGTGCAGCTGTAGGCCCAGACCTCTAACCAGCCCTAGCCTGTGACATGACTGTGAGCACTCTGGCTTCAGATCCAACCTCACGGGAAGGAGTGGACAATAAGCCACTCTGCTTCCCCGCCCACCCCCAGCACCTGTCTTCTGAGGCCCACTAGTCTTCACGAGCCTTCCCAGGAATTCCTCTTGGACTCTTCCTTGTTAAGGTCACTCTAGGAAGCTAGGGGAGAGGGCTCTTTTGTATCCATTGGGAAGTGACCAAATTCAACAACACCATGCTTTCTGGTGGGCATTGGCCACCCTGGACTTTATTAATGACAGTACATCCCTGGTACATCTGCACATGGCTCACAGCTGCCGAGGCCGCTTCTTCCTCCTACCCTCACAACAGCCCCAGGATGCGGGTGGGTGGACAGGGGTCTCCCCTCCCTCATCCAAGGGGCATCCAGGCCCAGAGAGGGCATTTCCCAGGTCACATGGCCCGTCAGTGCAGCGCCAGGGTTCTGACCGTCGGGTCCTGGTAACCTTGGACTTCTACCCCAAACCTCTTTCTTCCTCAGATCGACCTGTACGCCGGGGCCCTCTTCGTGCACATCTGCCTGGGGTGGAACTTTTACCTCTCCACCATCCTCACACTTATCATTACCGCTCTGTACACCATTGCAGGTATGGCTCCTCTAACAGGGTCAGGGCAGGGGCCTGAAGGGAGGGCCTGCCCACCACTGGCTTGGGCAGAGCCAGGAGACGCACAGGAAGCACCGTGGGCTCCGGGGGAGACCCCCCAAGGAGTGCAACCAGGTGCTTTAGCTCATTGCTCACCCACCTCTGAAAGGGTAGGGGGCACATCTGGGAACAGCTGCCCCAACAGGAGCTCTAGAAGTTGCCTCCTTTGAGGCCAAGGGACCCCACCTCCAGTAACCTTGTTCCCCACAGGGGGCCTGGCCACTGTGATCTACACGGATGCCCTGCAGACAATCATCATGGTGGTGGGGGCTGTCATCTTGGCGGTCAAAGGTAAGGGCTGGGGGCCATGGCTATAGAGGGGGGTGGGCTGCCCCAGCAACCTGCAGGACTGATGAGGTCGCGCTGCTAGGCAACCATCCCTTGCAGGCCTCTCCTGGCTGCCCCGCTGCCCAGATGTCACCAGCTGTGGGCCGGGTAAGGAGCTGACTCAGGAACACAGGGCCTGCCGTGTGCCGCCCTGGCTCAGGACAGACAGCAAGGTGGGGCTGCCGGAGGATGTGGAGGCAGCAATTAGGAGACCACAACACTGCCCAGGCGTCTCCTCCAATTGTTTAAGATCAGGTACAGAATCCTGAAAGGTGATGCTACCTACTGCTAGAGGCAGGGGAGGGGTGAGGAGCATTTAGACAGAGTGATGACATTAGTCTGGGAATAGCTTATAGGGCTGCCAGGGGCTGGGGGGTAGGGTGGAGGTAGTGAGCTCCCTGTCCCTGAAGTACGCAAGCAGAGCCGGGAGGATCCCACAGAGGGCGAATGAAAGCCTTTAAAGATTCCAGACTCAGAATCTGAGATCCTGAAAACTCTAAGCCTTGTGTAGCATCTGTACCTTTGCTTTGATACTCACATAGGTCCCTGAACACAGATCCTGGCCCGGCTTCTAGTGTAGGCAACAGGTTCCCTCTTCCATGATCTGCTGGGGAACAGGGCTTGGGGCAGAGACAGGCTTCTTCCTCTTAGCCCACGGACCCTACATCCACAAACCTCACTGCACATGAGGGACCCAGACAGCTAGGCCCAGTCTGGATGGGAGTGGAGTGACCACGGCTATGGCCAAACCACAGACAGGCCAGGGCTTGGCCATGTAGAGTCCTGACCCCGAGGTAGACAGAAACAACAAGGGGAAAGATTTGCTCTGGACTTGAAAGACCCCTGGCTTGAGCCCCACCTGCCCAGCAGGCTGCATGATCTTGGAGGAGCCACATCACTGCCACCATTCTTGGCTCTACTAAAATCACAACCTTTTGGAACCTGGGTCAGGACATTTAACACTTTAGATGCCTCAGGAAAGTCTTTGAGTGCCAAGAAAAAATGTTTTGCTTCCTTGAATGGGCAGTTCAAAACCTGGCGGAGAACCCCTTATCGGAGGCCCACAGGCATCTGGAGACCAGCAGTGATTCCCACCAGGCCAAGTGGACACAGTGGTGTCCATGTGCAAAATGCTCATTTAATAGTATTATCTTAAATACAAATAAAATAGTTATTTAATTTCACCTTTTTTTTTTGAAGCCCTCTACCCACCACACCTTCCCAAATGCCAGGAAAGGCAAGGTAGAAAAAATTCCAGTTTGATGCATTAGGATGTTATTTGTGAGATGAGGAAGTGCAGCAGGAGCTGGGGAGTCAGGGCCACCCAACCAAACTGTCCCTGTCCTGCCCAACCCTTCCAGCTTTCGACCAGATCGGTGGTTATGGGCAGCTGGAGGCAGCGTATGCCCAGGCCATCCCCTCCAGGACCATCGCCAACACCACCTGCCACCTGCCACGCACAGATGCCATGCACATGTTCCGGGATCCCTACACAGGGGACCTCCCATGGACCGGGATGACCTTCGGCCTGACCATCATGGCCACCTGGTACTGGTGCACCGACCAGGCAAGTGCCAGCGACACCCACCCTCTCCACCTTCCTGCCTTCCAAGCATGGGCTCTGGTGGGTCCAGCCCGGACGGGGCTGCTAGGGGTCCTTGTGGTCCCGAGGTGCCTGGGCCCTCCGCTTAGAATCAGACGAGGCCCACTGGCTGCCCCCCGACCTGGCTTTTAGGTGCTTTGACTGGGACAGTTTGGAAAATGGGATTCCAAAGGGACTCGGACGCTCCTCAGTGGCTCTGCTATCAGCCAAGATGCGGGTGTTTCGTGCTGGCCTCGGGCTCCGGGTATCGGGCAGTATGCGGGCTGTTGGGCTGCCCTTGGGCTGCCAGTGCTGGGGGCCTACTGTGGCCAGGGTCACTTTCCTGGGAGAGCTCTGGGCGCCATCAGCAGCAGGGCAGTACCGGGGACCTCCTGGGGTCTTTGAGGCAGGGCCATCACGGTGGAATTGCTGGCCCTGGAAGAGAGAAACAAAGAGTAAGGACTGTGCAGGGACCCTTGCCAGGCACGCAGGGTGGGCCAGACCTGGAGCAACAGATTTCTGGCTTGGCCACTCAACAAATTGGGTTTAACTAGTTTGTGCGTCTCAGTTTCCTGATCTGTGACACAGAATCATTCTGCCTTTGGGGTTGTAGCTCCTGCCATATTTCCTCACCATCCCCACCAAGCCTTGTCAATCTGGGCACAGGGCTGCATGAGGTTTAAAAACACCGAACGGGGTTGTTGGAGACCTGAATTTCTGTTAAGGGCAGAAGACAACTCTGGTCCCCCCCCATCATGAACCCTGCAGGTGACCTCAGAAAAGCCACTTCCTGTCACTGGGCAAAAGCAGATGATGCCTCTGCCTGCTTATCCTGAAGGCCATGGGCCTTGTCCTGGGAGCACAAGCTGGGGACCTCTTGCCTTCCCTGTGAGGCGGGCAGGCCACTCACAGGCTACAACACTGAGGCCCAGACACAGAGGTAGACGTGGAGGGTGGAGTGACTTTCCGGGACTCCTGAGCAAGAGGGGCTCCATCAGTGACTGCCCAATGACTCTCCCTGGGTTCTAACAGTGGGAAGTGACACAGACTTGGAAGTGACAGAGGCCCTGGGAAGCTGGGCCTCAGTTTCCCCATCTGTAACCCCACATCCCTTAGATGCCCACATCAGTTATGCAATATGCCTGGACTTTCCAGGGAACGTGTGGCCCATGGCAGATGTCTGCCCAGCTCCCCTGGGAAGGCTCAGGGCCAGCCCAGGTGGGCAATAGACTAGAGGAAAGATGGCAGTGGAGGGTGAGCAGGGCATATGGGCACCCCTGCCAGGCTGAGTCCCTATATCTCAGCTACCTCCTGTCTCCTTCCATGTGGCAAGACCTGGCACGGCACAGGCTTCCGAGTGGGATGTCATCCAGGAGAATTTCTATGAAGGTCGTCCTTGGGGTCAGGACTGATGGGCCTCACTGCACAGATAAGGAGCCTAAGACCCAAAAAGGGTCCACCCCGTCTTCCTCCCCTTGGGCTGGGTCTGCCTGAAGGCTGTGGGGTCTTGGTCCAGCTCCGGGCACAGGTCTGACTCAAGGCTCCCCAGTCTTTGGGCGGCCCCACACTAGCCCCTGGAGACTTTTGGGGACCCAGGGGTCTGCCTATGCTCTGTTCTCCATGCTGGGTCCGTGGGGGCTTTTCATTTCTTCTATGAACTTTTCACTGTTTCCAGCCTCATCCACAATGAGTAGGTGACAGTTTTGTGATCAGAGACAAAAACCAACAGCAAATGAGGCAGAAGGGCCAGAAGGAAAAGTCCTGGCCTGGTCTGGGTTTTACTACTGCCTCTTCCTGAGCCTCATGTACACATGGTGCACAGATGGGAATGACTCTTAGGGTCCTTCCAGCTCTGGTAGCTCCCCAAACTGTCCCCTGCTGATGCTATGGTATGAACCAGAGTTATCTTCCCCTCGGTCAACAGCAACAGCCCCAATCCTAACAGGGACTGCAAGTCTTTGTAGTCAGCCATGACTAGCTAGTGGCCACACCCTAAGAAAAGGCTAAAAAAATCCTGAGAAAGAGAACTCACATCTACCAAAGGCCCTGGACCAGACAGGCACAAGCTCTGCCGTCCACACCAGTGACATCACTTAGTCCTTGCAGCAATCCCTGCATTGGCAGCAGTAACCTATTCTGCAGATAGAAATGGGGTCAGGGAGCTGAAAAGGCCAATCCCGGGGAGGGAGGGAGGACCAGGCTAGGACTTGATGTCCCTTGTGAGAGGTGCTATGAGGCAGTTTCCCCACTGAGACTATGGACGGTCCACACATTGTCCCTGACACTCAGGGGTGGAGGAGCCACGCACAGCAGCATCCCTGTGGCTCATGGAAACTGAGCCTCAGCATCTCCACCTGGGGCGACAGTCCCTGTCCTGGAGCACAGCATGAAATAATGGAGACAAACAATGAGTCGTGTCAATGATGAAAGATGACAGATGTGCATGACACTGAGGCCTCGGGGCTCTTGCAATCAGTCACAGACAGTAGAGGAGAGAAGAGTCTAGACAGAACCTCCTCTAATACCCTCACTGTCCAGATGGGGAAACTGAGGCAAGAATTGGTTCCAAGTCACAGCAAGCTGGCAGAGAGGCAGGACAGAAATCAGCTGCCTTGCAGCCTGTGAACACTCTTCCTCTAATGAATGTCTCAGGAGAGGCACACCTGTGGGGTCAGTGCTGGGAACTATCTGTTGAATGAGCATACTTGGAAAAGAAGTTTAAATCACAGATAGCTCCTGCTTCTGAGTTGCAGACAGCAGAAGAGATTTAAACTGTGGAACAGCACAGAAAAAAAAAAATACATTTCAGAGTTATAGGTTGTGCAACCCTATGAACACATGAAAAACCACGGGAGAGTCCACATTAAAAAAAATATGTATATATGCATGTGTGTGTGTGTGTGTGTGTGTATATATATATATATATATATGCATATATGTGCATATATACACATGCATATATATATATATATATATATATACACATAAATATATATATATATATATACACACACATATATATATATATATATATTTCTTTTCTTTTTCCCCCCAGTGCTAAGGATGGAACCCAGGGGCTCACACATTGTAGGCAAGTGCTCTACCACTAAGCTACATCCCCAGCTCCCCTTCTCTTTTTTTTTTGACATTGCTAGGGATTATACCATACTGGAGGCATTCTACCACTGAGTTATATCTCCAGCCCTCTTATTTTTTGGGGGGAGTGAGTGTCAGGGATTGAACTCAGAGGCACTCAGCCACTGAGCCACATCCTCAGTCCTTTTTTGTATTTTAGAGATAGGGTCTCATTGAGTTGCTTAGCACCTCGCTGGCTTTGAACTCAAAATCCTCCTGTCTCAACCTCCCATGCCGCTGAGATTACAGGCATGCACCACCACGCCTGTCTTATTTTTTTTTTTGAGACAGGGTCTTGCAAGGTGTCCAGGCTGGCCTTAAGTTTACAATCCTCCTGCCTCAGCCTCCAGAGTCGGTGGAGTTACAGGCATGTACCACCATGACTGGACTTTTTTTTTTTTTTTTTTAATAAGTAAAAACATAATGTTGGAGCTAGGAGGGATTCATCAGTCTGAATTAGGATTCCCTCCTTCTCCCATCCTGCAGATCTGGAAACTGAGGCTTATTAGGCTTTGTCTACGTGGTTGGGGGTATAGCTCAGTAGTACAGCACTTGCCTAGCAATGTTTGAGGCTCTGGGTCCCATCCCTAGCCCTACAGAGAAAAAGGGGGGAAAAAATTTGCTTAAGGCCCCCAAAGGAGCTGGTTATCACAGGCAGATTCTGAGACTCTCCAGGAGGGAACTGCAAGCTTCCTAAATCCCAGGTCTTGGCATACCTAACCTCTGCCTGTGGCACATACTATTGGCACAAATGTCTGCTCCTGGTACACGCATGAATGGCCAGCCACTCTCATGAGGGTCCAGGGGATAAGGGTGGTGGGCTGTGACCCTTATGCCATTAGGCCACAGTCTTCTCCAGCTCTGACAATTGCCAGAGGTGGTGAGCAGGCAGGAACCACAAGCTTCCCTATTGTACAAATGGGAAGATGGAGTTCCTGGGGACAAGGAGATATGTGGCCAACCAGGGTGAGTTCCAGTGGGGGATGCTGGTAGTGACAGCGCTGCGTGGTTATCTAGGGCAGGTCTGGGACCAATGGGATGGCATCCTGTCTCATGCCACTCTCTGAGGCCCACTGGGAGAGACCCTAACACAGGAAACCCCCCCCAGGGCTGGGATTCACTCCCTCTTGCTCATGCCCCCAGGTCATCGTGCAGCGATCTCTATCTGCCCGCAACCTGAACCACGCCAAGGCGGGCTCCATCCTTGCCAGCTATCTCAAGATGCTGCCCATGGGCCTGATGATCATGCCAGGCATGATCAGCCGTGCACTATTCCCAGGTAGGAAGGCTCTGGTGCTGAGCCAGGGCTGCAGGGCACTCGGGGTTCTGAGGCTTCATCCTACAGAGGCAATTAGAAGGAAAGGCAAAGGAGGGACGTGAGCTATTGCCCAGATGGAAGGAGGCGGGGAGTGGTCCCCAGGGCCATAAAGGGATGGACACAGATATGACTTAGCACAAGGTCCAGATGAGGACCACGTATGGTTGTGTGACCTTTATACTCTGTGCTCTGCCATTCCCTTGTCTTCAAACTAGGGGACTTAACTACCCACCTGACAGGCAGCAGAAAGATACTACAACTCCAAGTGTGTGGACCTCTGGCTGTGGACATGTGCATTTCCCAAGGTTGCTTTGTCAGGACCCTGAGACCAACAGTCCCCAGCATAGAAATAGCCTGCCAATTGGCTCTGGGTGGTTCCCACCCCAGCCCATTCAGCAGTTTTTCCGTCTATAACAAGGACAGCCTTCCAAGTCTGAAACATAGTAGCCCGAGGGATGGTGGCTCTCAGGTCACTTGCAGGGGGGACTCCTTTGAGTCCTGGGACAAGGGACCCCAACCCACCTGTGCCGCCTTGTCTGAAGAGCGCTGGGCCTGCATCTTCCTTGATGCACCTGCCTCTTCTCTCCCCCGACCATGTGCCCATGGGGAGCTGCCCAGGGGTCCACCAAAAGTCCCTCGGGTTATGTGGGGTACGCTCAGCTGCCGGCGGGGTGGTTGGGCTGGTCCATTGGCCATCTGCTCTGAGTGGCGCCTTCGAAGAGGGACTGAGCGCTCCCTCACCTCGAAGTATTCATCTGACATGGAAGAGGCCACAGAGGGCCGCCGGAGTCCAGGGCCATGGCCGGAGCTGCCTGAGAGGCTGTCCTGGTCACTGAGAGTCACGTAGTCATCATCGTCTTCCTCTTCTTCCCCACAATCCAGCCCATTGGGGAACACTGACCCAATGCCATCAGGGTCATCCTGGGTCACAGACAGCTGCCGCTGGAGTGGGGGATGGCTTGGGTCCACCGTCCTGGGTAGCCTGAGGTCTGTCCCATTAGGAGGTGTCTCCTCTTTTGGGGTCTCCAGAGCCCAGTCCACGTCACTGCCACCCTGGGCAAGCAGGTCTGCCACGGGGACTGTCCGGGGCTTCGGCACAGGGAGCTGAGGCTCGGGGTCTCCCCGGGGAAGGCCATTCTCAGCTGGGACCCCATCGTGGGGGTCACTGGGCCCTGGGGGTGTGCAGGGCTCTGGGGAGGGGCGTCGTTCCTGGCTCTGTTTCCACAGCTGGTGCTGGGTACTGGCATGGGATGTGTCACGGATCTTGATGCGGTTCATCTGACTGGGCTGGGGGTTCCAGATATTGGGGTCTATAATGTTGATGTAGCCCAGGATGTCACTGCCAGGCTCCGGGTCCGGCTCTACCCATGTGGGCAGGTATTCAAACATATTGGCCTTCTCCAGGTTGAGCAGTCCCGGATGGACAGGTGGCAGCAACTCAGGGAAATCCCCTGGCCGCTCAGCCAGCATGGGGCCCTGCAGCCCTGGAGGTCGCTTCGTCTCCTCTTTCTCGGAGGAGGTCTTGGCAATCTCATCGGCGCTCTTGGCCTTGACCAGCGCATACTTGGGGTTGACAAGCTTCTTGGCCACGGTGTCCGTGGATACCAGGGGGACTACAGACGGTAGTACGATGGGTTCTGGCTCCGGCTCCTTCTCCATGGGGATGTCCTTGAGGTTGACACTCTGAGACATGAGATACAGCTCCTGGAACTGCCGGTCAAACATCTCCACCACCTGGCCAGACAGCACGGAGATCACGTTCCGGTCTGTCCTGGCAGCTGACCACGTGAAACTGTAACACAGAGGCAGAGGCAGCTCTGGTCAGGGACAGGGACTTCCCTCCGGCCCAAGAACCCTATTCTAGTGAGCCTTCCTGATCCCTGCTGCAACGGACATCCAAAGAGTCCACTGTGTATCCCCTGGCTGGTGTTCACCAGATGGTGGCTGCAGGGTTCTGGGACTGAGAAATGGCCTGTGGGGCACAGAGGGCAGGGCACAGCTGTGGAGTCAAAACTGAGTCCCGGCTGCTACTGGATTCATTGAGACGCTCATGTCCAGTAGGACCCGGTGGCTAGTGCCATCACGGGTCTTAGCTACCACCAACCCTGGAGTGACTGTAGGCAGCCCCTGCCCTGCTACACCATCTAATGGTACCTAAGGTTGCACCTGTCCCTACTGATGACACTCAGAACGACCATCCTGTGGGCTTGGGAGGGGGCAGCTTGGCCCCCACCTCACCTCCAGGCAGGTTTAACACTTTAGGCTGGAACAACCGTCTCCTCGGACAAAAGCCTCCTTGCCCGCCCCCAGACATAGGCAGCCAGGTGTGCCCAGCTCTGCATACACCTTAGCAGTTTTAGGACCAATGAACCGGAATAACCAGGGTGTCCGGATTAAGGGCAGAAACCAGCTGGGAACCAAAGGCTCCAACTCCTCACAGCGGCCATGGAGAAATCACCTGTAGGAGCCGCACACAGCCCGGTCTCCATCCACGAACATGAACTTCTGGGCCAGGGCGCCCTTGAACTTGGTGGCTGATCGTGTGAAGAACTCAGTTCCCCCAGTGCTGCATACCCTAAGATTCTGTGTTGGGGGACAGAGAGGCAGAATCAGTCAACCATCACACTGAGATCCCAGGGCTGGGTAGAGAGGAGACTGCCCAGGACTCAGGGAGGGCTTTGCAGGGGACAAGGATAAAGAAGAGATCGTGAGATATGGGGAAAGGGCTGGTGTGTCCGAGACTGCAGGGTCCAGGTAAAGGGGGGACACAGAGGACCCAACACTGGTGATGAAGGGTCTGAGCCAGGATGGTCTTGGGCTTTGGCCCCCAGTGTCACAGAACAGCACTAAACAGGACAGAAATTAAGTGGCCAGGCCTGTTTGCGAAATGCCACCGTAGTGGGCAGAAGCCATTGGAGCATTTTTGAAAAATTATTATTATTATTTTTAGACAGGTTTCATAAGTTGCTGAGGGTCTTGCTAAGTTGCTGAGGCTGGCCTCAAACTTGGGCTCCTCCTGCCTCACCCGACCTTGTAGCTGAGATTACAGGCGTGCGTCACCGTGTCCAGCTATGTCATACAGTATCAAATGGGAGGGTGATATTTTGGAAAGGTCCCATGGACAGCAGTGGCTATGCAAATGAGAGATGAGGGAGGAGAGTGAGGGGCAGGAAGGGGGATGAATGGCCCTGAGGAATCTGGGTCTTCCACTCTAACAACTCCATGGTCCCTCCGGATGAGTGACCGGCCATGCCTGTCCCTGCTGAGTTCTGCTCCTGAGGGCAGGACTCAGCAAACTCTCCTACTTCCCCATTCCCAGGGCACCTCCTGGCACCCCAGACAGGTTCAATAAACAGTCAGATTCAATTCTTCACCAAGCTTGCAGGGCTGGGCTCAGAAGCAGGTCAGAAAGGCTCTCGGACCACAGGAGGGGAAAGGAGACCCAGAGAGGGGAGAGGACTCTCCCAGGCATGAGAAGCAGAGCTGGATAAATAGCTGCTGGTTGTTCTCTGGTCCCTGGCCATGTAAGGGGTCTCTTTTCCCAGAGAGCAGTCTCTGGAACCGTCAGAGGTCCCTCCAGCCAGTGCTGCACATGTGGACCCAGGAAGTGCACAGTGAGCCTGGCTGAGACCCAGGCATCTAGGGATAGCCAGGGACTTTCAGAAGTGAGCCTCAGGTGGACAGGGGACCTGGGGCCATAGGGTCCGAGCCTCACCAGGGCATTGCACTAGCATGAAGGCCTCCAGGGGTCCCCAGAGTCTGTTTCAGGAGGCCTGTGATGAGGCTTGGGGTTCTTGGTGTGGCTGGTTTATTCATTCACGGATCACACCCAGGGACACCCGACCTTGGAGCTACAGCCTAAGCCCTTTGCTTTTTTTTTTTTTTTTCCTTTACTTTTGCTTTGAGATAGTGCTCGTCAGTTGCTGGCCTGGAACGTGAGATCCTCCTGCCTCAGTCACTTGAGGAGCTGGGTTTAAAGATGTGCACCACCACACCTGGTCAGGGAATTTAGTTTTAACACAGGTTTCAGGGATCCTGACACCTCAAGAGCATCCTGACTGGTCTGACTGAACACCTCCTACAATAGGAGTCTCGCTCTCGACCAGCTTGGGGCATCAGGCAGTGTGACACATTCTTCGTCAGACTGAGCTGTGACTTATCTACCTGTCCCCTTATCCACTCCAAGGCCAAGCTTATTAACTGCCCACAGGTTCAATTGTTCATTGACCCCCTGCTAAGGCCCCCAGGGGTGGACAGAGATGACAGTGGCAAGGATCCTGCTATGGGGGAAGCAGATGAGTAAACACGGCAACAATCAGGAACCCTCAGGATGAGGAACCCCGGGAGTGACCTGGGGGAGGCTCCCAGGAGAGACAGCATGGGTCAGGGTGGGAGAAGGGTGAAGCATTCCAGGCAGAGGGACTTCCAAAGGCCTGGCTCAAAGGAGTACCTCAGGGAGGAATGGTGGGTGAGGGAGCCTGCAGGGCAGGCTGAGCCTGAAGCTGAGGAAAGACCCTACACCTGCTTAAGAGCCTTCACTAGGGGCAGTAGGGAGCCATGGAAGGATTTAGAGCAAAATCTAAATGTCAAGAACCGTTCTGGCTCTTCTAGAGGAGAGAATGTAAGAGACGAGTGTGGAGACAGCAGGTAGAGAAGGGGGGGGCTGTTACAGGCGAGGGAGGCGGACCTGAAAGAGGGAGAGGACCATCCACCACTGTCCCCTGCTCCAGGGCTCCTTTCTGTGTCCCACCCACCTCTGGCTGGGGCAGCCCCAAGCTTATCCACAGAGGATATGACAGGAATGGGCCCCTGGGTGGGTCCTCACGCAATGCTCACCCAGCCGTGGGGTGAACAATCGTCTTGCTGTTGGGCCCAACCCAGAAGGCAGATAAGCCTCTGTTCCCAGGGAAGGCTCTCTAGGCCCCCGCCCCGCAGGCTGCCTGTCTGCACAGCTGGCCACG